AAAGAAAGAAAGAAAGAAAGAAAGAAAGAAAGAAAGAAAGAAAGAAAAAGAGAAGGAGGAGGGGTGAGCAAACAAAAGAAATTTTAAAAAGTGGATGGCACAGAAACAATCACAGCAGAGATAGCTTTACAAAAATTATACAAGAAAACTTTACTTGTTTTATAGAGCACTCATTCCCACTGGAATTTAGGCTCTTGGAAACCATGTCTTAATCTTTGTGTACCAGGGTAATTCTTGAGATATGTGTGTTTCTCTCTTTTTTTCCTTTGTCCTCCCTCCTTCTCCTCTTTCAAACAGGCACCTAAGGATTCAGAGCTTTACAATGTATGTTCCTTGAGGATTTTTGCATGGCACAAAGAAAAAAGTATCTTTCCTATAGTCTGAAGACAACTACTTTCCTGTCAGTAGTTAAAAAAAAAAAAAAAAAAAAAAAAAAGCTCAGAAAGAATGCTAGTTATCCTGGATAGGTTAGTGTCTTTAAGGAAAAGAGACAGAGAGAGAGAGAGATTTCACTGAAATTGGGCAGAAGAGTGATGGAAATGAATGAACAAATTCCAAGAAGGTGCAGGACCAGTGAATGACTGACAGGGGATAAGATCTCAAAGCAGCTGTCTGTTTGAGGAACTGAGGGAGTGTGGTCCCTCAACCAGGGTTCTCAGTGCTACTAGAGATTCCCATACCACTCTGTGGTACAGAAGAAGCAGAACCTTTGGTCCTCGAGGGCCTACACAGGTTATAACAAAAGGTATCTCAGGGGAAACAAAGGGTAGTGTGAGGTGAACAATAAGATGCAGGGCCTCTGCACAGCTCTGGATGGTGTGTGGAGTCAAGAGAATGACTGAGATTGATGGTTTCTTAGCACAAGGACATTGAGGCTCAGAGTCAAAATGAAAGTGACTTAAAGAAAAACAAGCATTTGAGGGAAGATCCATGACTACAATTCTCCAACTTTTTTTTCAAAGTTGATTTATTTATCTTGCGAGAAAGGGGGGTGGGCAGAGAGACAGGGAGAGAGAGAGAGAATGTCAAGCAGGCTCTGCACTGCCAGCGAAGATGTGGGGCTCAACCCCACGAGCCAAGAGATCATGAAGTGAGCCGAAATCAAGAATTGGATGTGAACTGACTGAACTACCCAGATGCCCCTTGCCTCAAATTTAATAGAGTAGCATCAGTGCACAGAGGTAGATGCAGAGTAAATATTTAGTTATGCAATTTGAAAAAAAGAGCTCAGCCTCCCAAGGTAACAATGATAAAAATAGCAATACTCATTTGTGCATATTAATTCAGAAATACTCAAGATAGAAGATTCATTACCATAGGAGGACATAAAACAGTCACAGGATATCCAACTTTTGGATTTATTTAACATTAATATAATCCTAATATTACAAATTGATTCACTAATGAAAAAAAACTTTTGCAAAACATTCATAATAATCTGATATTAATAGTATTATGTACCTCTAATGCACCATGTTCTTATTTGTTGACTAGTCTTCCTTTGCGTTTGAAATAAGAAATGAATATTTATTTTAGGTTACCTCTTTTAATCAAATACAACTAAATGACATTTTATCCCCATGGTCTTCTAAATATAGAAATGATTAGGTTCTACCTTGCACCATGATGAGTCACACTTGAATAGTTGAGCTATAGCTGTGAATCTGATAATGAACAGGGTACAGAT